GAAGCAGCCTAGAGAACTTGCTAGTCAAAAAGTAATTTTAGTAATTTTAGATTTAGTGAATTTAGTAATTCAAGGTGGTTAAATGCTCACTAAGTCAGGGTTTGGGGTTCAGAGCTTTGAACTTAAGCCCATCTAAAGCGTAGCTAAATCCTGTTTATTCCTACTGCATTTTGGGATCCTGCCCATGCTCTGATTGTCCGTATAGAGAATTATTATCACTAAAAATAACCACTTTAAGCAAAACACTCCTTAAGCAACCTGTGTTCCCCCCGAAAAAGTGAAGACCACTAGGACATTCATGTTGACATGAGCTCTAGAAAGATTAGCTAGTTTCTTCTCCCCCCACAACAGTTCAGTGAAATGACATTTTTACTGCAGTGATTCTGCACAGGATGCAGTCTTAAATATTTGCACGTGGGTTGACAATTAATGCTGAACAATGAAGAGATCAGCTGAATATATACATAGGCACTTTTGAAATTTGCTAATGTAATTAAGCCGATAAATTGCCTTGAGAATATTGAAGCCAAACATACAGGAGTGTGTATACTCAATTATTTTTGCCTAAGGTTGTTCTGCAGGTCTTGTTCCAACACGTGCTGTAATTCTCTTCTTGGAGCACTAATAGGCACACCAGATATATATCCAAATTGCAAAATTTTGTGCTCATAAAATTAAAGCTTATTATGTTGATTATGCCTAACAAAATGCATGCAAAGAACAAGTGCAAGTTTCTCCTCACAACTCGGTTAATACTGCTGGAGTTCCCCTGTAAGCATCCCCTAAGCTTTGACACCCAACTCTGCTACAGTTGTGTTTCTTACTCATGGCCTGCAATAGCTTTGGTTTTCTAGCTTGGTTCCTCTGCATAAGTTTGTCTGCATTGTATTTATTCTTACCAGACTGTTCTTTCAGTAAGCATATACCAGTGTAGCAGTAACCTAGATGCAGATTTTTATATAAACAAAATGAGGAAAAAAAAGAGAATTTAAGCTGGCACTTTCTTCCAGGGAGCATATGGTAGTGCACTATCTAAATTCAGTCTTCTTTTTGTAGGCAAAGAGCATTAATGGTACAACTAGGTAGATATTTTTGAAGTTTGTTGTTTGCTTATATTTATTTTCTCACATACTGTAGCATGCAGTAAATAAACTTTATTATAAAGCTTATTTGCATTATAGATGTAGATTCATTACATGCAAGGAGCATTAGAAGAACACCTTGTTAAGATAAGTACAGAAGAAGGGAAGCAGTACAAACAGTGCGGAGCAATAAAAGTGTTAATAACATTATTACACTTTTCATCCTGAATACTCACAAATTTTTACTTATTTCTGTGTGCAATCATAACATAGCAATGTGAGCATTTACATTGGCAGCAGAATGGCATAGCATATTACAGCACATTGTATCCTCATGTTTACACGTTTGTACTTCTATACAGGTTGGTCGGATACAGTACTAAACTCATTACCTTATGGATTCTCCTTCCTCTACCTTACACTCTTCAAGTTGCGTTCTGCTTTGTTCTCCCATGTATTTGTTTCAGGGGAATTTCTTCTGTAAGACTACATACATGGTAATTAAATAAGTGACCAGGAAAAGACTGGAAGAGATTTGTGGTTCTTGTAAGAGATACAGAATCAAGGACAGAGAGAGGAATCAGGGTTTCCCAAAGCTGCTACTACAGTGCAAAGAATTAAGCCCTGACACAGGCAAACTGCTCCTTTAAATAAACTACATCCAGTGCCACCTTCTCAGCCTCCCGGGTGTTGCTGTAAGGGCAGAGGTCAAGTGATGGCTTATAAATCACCTTATAAGCCACGGAGCATGCACACAGCAAAAAAATTTCTTAGGATTAACTAGGCAGGCTCCTAGGGGAGGCTAGGGAAGCAAGGCTGCTCTGGTGGGAATGTTCTTTAGCTTAGACTGTTCATCTAATAACCTGAGTAGACAGATCTAAGGCTGCAAGAGAACTAAAACTAGCAGAGTAAACAGTGAACGTAGTTCTGTGGGATAGCCGACAATACAGAGATAAGTATGATTTGATACTGCAAAGATTTTAAAAGTGAAATGGGTGATTTTGCAATAGGAGGGAGTTGAGGGGATTCCTGCAAACATAATCACATTGCCTCTTTGCATGTTAGGTCAGGGTTATTAGTAACTGCTTAGCTATAAAATAGTCCTTCAAGAAGATTAGCCAGTTCCTCAGGGTGCTCATAGAAGCACTGGTCAGAGGAAAAATTTCATCTTAGATTTTTTGTCTTTTTAGGGGCTAATCACATTAGCTGGGAGCGTTACGTAAGGCGATGCAGTGAATCACTGGTGTAGATCTGCTTACAGCTCAGGCGTTCAGGATTCCTATTCCCACGGTCTCCCACTCATCTCTATTTCTCAACCTTATCCAAGTGGGCGAGGCCTTCTTCAAAGTAGAAAACAAAAAACAAAACCACAAAACTCTGACTCCAACATCTTCTGTAAAAATAAGAGGGAAAAACCCATAGTGGGGACAATCCTATCTGGCTCCTTTTGTTTGTATTGAAGGAGGTGAGTTGAGAAATGCAAGGAGTAAGGAATGTAGTGGTGAGTAGGGGTTATGTGAGAAGCCCTCTGAATGATTTTCAAGTGACACTCCCTGGATAGTTCATTTCAGCAATTCAGCCTGTAGGAAGCTCTAGTTGCACAGACCTCACACCTGAATTAGCCTCAACAGAAATTAGAAGCACTATAAATGATACAGCATGGGGGAGGAAGCAGAGGGAATCTTTCACCCCATTTGCACCCATTCAGGGCATAAAGAAGGGAAACATGGCTACAATCAAAGCAAAGAGAAGAAGGTTTCAGGGTGTTTGCACCCTTATCTCTATGAACAGTCTATCAGTCGTGCGATCTACAAGCTACCCTTAAAGGGAATCTTTTCCCTCGGATATCTTTCTTTCTCTTTCTCAGCCTGCCCAGGAAGATGGGATTTTGTAAAATCACATCCTAAATATGAAGAGTTTGCCAGTCTTCTTTATAAAATGTGTACCTGTTTGTACTTACACATTGGAAATCCCCTGATGTGCAAATATAAATAAGAGACTAGGTATTGTGCAGCTACCAAACAGCAAGACACAGCTGTGATCAGTAAAACTAGTTATGATCAGCGTATTCCTTCTTTTATAAGACTGTGCGTGTGCAAATTGGGTCATGCTCCATCTTTATGAATTTATTTTCCAGTAGTGAGAGCTACTTATCACAAAGTAGGAGTATCCTGTTACTGAACTTTTAGATTCTTCTCATCTGATGTGAACCCTTGCAGGAAGCACTCAAAATGTATTCATTTTGGATAATTAATTATACATGATCCGAGTTCTGTGCCCAGGGTATTTTCTCAATGATAGTTGAGCTGTCTGAGACACAGGAAGCAATGGGGCGCATGTGCAGACTCTCTTCTTGTACCGATCCATTTGTGCTACTCTGATATTCTGCAGCAAATGGAGTCAGATCATAGCTGAGTAGCTGAGATTTTCCCCGCCCTCTGAAGCGGCTCAGCTAGTTTAGAGTTGCCGTATTGCGTTATTCCCAGGTACATTCCATCTTTCCTGTTGAGCTAAAAGACAAAGGGGGCGTTTTAAGCTAATTGACCCTTTACAGACGTCAGCTGGCTAGAATAGGGCTAGTGCAAGGAATTAGGGATTTGGACTCTGATCCTTGACAACTCCCACTTTTGTTGACCCGAGTTTGAATCTGAGCCCCCGCAGAGATTCCTGCAGCAGCATTTTCAGCAAAAGTGACAAGAACTGAACAAGCCATGAGGTCTGCAGTCCCATTCGCCCACGCGGGCCTTTCCTGCGAATACCATGGCGCATGTACACAGAAATAGACCTTTTTGAGCTGATTCCTCCTCCTGTCAGCGCCATAGCCACTCACTCTGCTCATATTCTCTCACTTCCAGTCTGTTGTTCTGAAAGCTTAATCTGTAGAAAGCTTTTTCTTTTTTTCATTTCTTTTCCATTTGGCACTGGGAACTGAAAATTCCCATCTTTAAGTTCCAAAAAATAAAATTTTCATAATGCCTTTTAGTGACTCCTTAGAAAGCATTCTTAAGAGACTTACTAGGAAACAGTCAAGTTCCTTAAACCCACCCTCTCTTGTTAAGTTACTCACATAGCTTTTAACTGGGACATAAGTAAATCTTACTGAGAGAAGCCTGCACATTTTGGGCTATTGCCTGCAGAGGTACCGTTTCTATATAGGTTCTGTACTTACAGAAAATGTTTAATAAATGTGAATGAATTGTAGGAGTTAATAGGAGAAACCAGTAGGTTTTCTGACTGTTAGTTTTTCCTTTGCAGGGACTACCATGACATTGTACCTGGTAGTATATTCTTCAAGATTTTGCCCAATTAGTCTTAGATAATGAGTATAATGAGGGATCACTGCAAACCTAGCTCTGTTGCATAATCTAATTGACTTGTTACTGTGTATTTCACAAGTAGGGCTTGATATTTCTGCCTGACTCAAATAAAAATATCTGCTAAAGGAAGTTACTCGCAGGCAAAAACTTTTTGGTTGCATCAGAGAGAAGGAAAGCTTTATTATGTAGAGTCTTTTTTTTCCCCCCTAGAAGAATACCAATCATGGTAGAGATTAACTCAGGAGGCAGTGATTAGACACAGAAATACAGATGGAAGAAGCAGTTAGGCCATCCAAAGAGTTCAGATGAGACAGCTGAAACTAAAGGAAGTTACTCGCAGGCAAAAACTTTTTGGTTGCATCAGAGAGAGGAAAAGCTTATTTATGTGAGTCTTTTTTTTTCCCCCCTAGAAGAATACCAATCATGGTAGAGATTAACTCAGGAGGCAGTGATTAGACACAGAAATACAGATGGAAGAAGCAGTTAGGCCATCCAAAGAGTTCAGATGAGACAGCTGGAGTGAACGGTGTTGAGTAACTCGCACAAGCATTTGCTCTTGCTCTTTGAAGAAGCCTGATCAGACATGCTGGCTACGTTCTTGCTTGGTCCAAAGGCTCACTGGCTAAGCCTTGTCTGCAATGGAAGGTGCTGGTTTTGCCAATCAGTTCTCAGACTTTCTAAAACTCCCTGTGGAAAGATGAAAGGAAGCAAGAATCTGTTTGAAGGAATAAACTGTCTCTTTCAGCATCTTTAATATTATTATTACTTTAAAATTATAGAATGTGCAGTTCTCAATGGACTAGATTTTTTCCCAGCATTCTGGAAAGATTGGAGCAATATCAGACTTCATATTTGTACATGCATGTGTGTTTGCAGCTTTATCATATTAAATATGTGGACCTGCTTCTGTTCTCATTTCTGTAAGTGTAAATCAGGAGAGACTCTTTAAATTTAGAGGGACTGCATGAACCCAATACAAATGAGCTTAGAATTCAGTTTGTATTTATGTGTGTATGGGTTTCTACAACAGATTTTTGAAAGTTTAAATAGGTCGGCATATGCTACCTTTAATTTTGCTTACCAAGCATTAGCACACTTAGGACTGTTGTAACTATACATATCTGTCAGATACTTTTGTCTTTCTGGAGGAGTTTGTAAAGCCTATTAATTTTTAAAAGCTAGATATCATTTACAGCAAATCTTACTAAAATCTTACTCATTACAAAAAAGCCTTCTCAATTCACTCTGTTTTCAGCATCAAGTGAGTCTATGCATAGTATTCTCAATTTCAGCATTAAGGGTTTCAGGCCTCTTCATATATAGTCGATTCTTTCATGATCTTACCTGTTAGTTTGCAGTGGAAAACAGCACATTTGTGAGACAGCTACATTTTTAACTAAGATTTTTAATATCACTGTTACCTCCTTAGTAAGAAGGAATAAATGGAAGCCTCAAAGCAAGATCCTTTTCTATTCTATCTATCTTTTTTTTTTTAAATCAGAAGAGGAAGAGAAGCTTTCTAAAAATTATAACTTCCTTGAACTTGCTGTGCATTTCAACATTTTCAGACTTTTTTTGATTTTTTTGAGCCGTCCAGACTTGGAGCCTTACCCAACTTCATAGTTTTTATGGCTTCAGACACTTCTTCCATTGTTGCTCCTCTCTCCAGTATTTTATTCCCTTGCAGGCAGAGCTTCAAGGGGCCTCCTGTAACCACAGCCATAAAATTAAGACACAGAGAAGACCTTCTGGTCACTCCCCATCCTTTGATACTTCTGGACTTTTGCATCTGATACTTCTTAAATGTCGTAATTGTTTTAACTATTTTACCATACTTTGATCATGTTGCCTTCTTATTACCAACTACATTTCTAATATTTGGCTTTATTCAGAAACCACTGACTTCTCTGGTTCTCTGTATGCTTTGGACTGCGCGTTAACTACTTCCTCAAAGCTGTGTTAGCAGAATCTGATGAGGGCTTATTCTCTCCCTTTCACTGCTTCAAACACATTTTTTTATTCCATAGATCCTTTGATACAGCTCTTCATAATATCTTTTCATTTGTGCCACTTATGAAAATGCTATCATGTTAATATATTAACTGTATAAGAACTTAAAACATGGCAGTGAAAACAAATAGAAAAATATCTCCACATTTCCAAATAAGGATGACTTCAGTTGGCATATCCTTTCCTGCTACTCAGAGAGAAGAGTTAATGAGAAGATGTACTCTCTTATTCCACTTCTTACCTTCGCTTTCACAAGAGTAGCCAGACTGGGACTGGGAAGATGAAGAGGGGGAGAGGCATGATTTACCCTCTCCTCCTCCACCACTGCCATCTCCCCCACCTGAAATTCTGCCGCTGGCTCCACCCCTTATTCCTCCTCCACTCTCTCCTCCACCTGTGGAAGTTCTTCCATAGTTTTCTTCCATAGATCTTCCTCCACTACTTCTTCCACCTGAAGACCAACTACTTCCTCCTCCAGTACTTCCTCTTCCAGAAGAGCAGCTAATTCCTCCATGTCTTCCTCCTCCTGCAGAACCACCACCAGCTCCTCCCTGTGAGGTGCTGTAAGGGGGAAGGGGCATGCATGTGTACAGTTTATAGGAACATGACATATCCGACATCCTATTGACTTTATACAGGCCACTTTCTGACAGTCGTTCTCTGAGCTCCTTGTACAGCTGAGAAAGTGCTACTCTGTGAGACTAGTTCTGGAGGACTGGTTTTAAACTTTCCTAATGAGAACAAATGAACTGAGCTGCACTTAAAAAAGGAATAAAAGGAAAGAGAAGGAATGGCATTAGCTGTCTTTCAAGCCTCAGAGGTAGGTCCCTTGAGTATTTAGAAGATACAGTTATTATCTTGCTTATATGTCATTTTGATACATAACTTTGTATTTCCTGATTATACTTAGGAGTGGAAATGGCAAATTACAGTTCTAAATACTTTTCCAGACACTTCTGTCCAGTTCATAATAAATACAGAATAATACAGCTTGGTTCCCTTCCAGCTAAGATTTAGACTGAGTAAGAATTACTGAGATTGTGTTAAATAATATTGATGATGAATCAGTTGTTGCACTAGTTCCTAACATAAACGTTGCCCCTCCTGTTTGCAAAGATGGCATGTTAATTAATTTGAATATACGTACGTAATATTGTGCTGTCCTTCCTCAAGCAGTGCCCGGTACTGAGCAATCTCCTGTTCCAGGCGGGTCTTGATGCCCAGGAGCATCTTGTACTCTTCATTCTGACTCTCCATCTCGCACCGGATGCTGGCCAGCTCCTCCTCCAAGGGGCCAATCATACCCTGGATCTGCTGCAGCTGCATGTTATAGCGGCGCTCTGTGTCTTCCAAGTTAGACTGGAGAGAGTCTACCTGAGAATGGAAAACAAAATAGGGTGTTTATGGGACTGTGGCAAGATTGGTCCATTTTAATGCTCAAAATGAGAAAAATCCTTGATAGCATCTGATGCACCAAGTAGCTCCTTCTTTATATGGAGCATTGGCAATAGCTGATCTATCATGGCAGTGACTCCTGTGTTCTTAGCATATCAGAGAATCGGAAGCGATCATCACGTACCATGCTGAGCTCAGACTGCAGTTCGATTTCCAGGCTTTGATATTCACGTCTCAGTGCAGAGATCTGTTGATTACTTGATTCTAACTCCTGGCTGCTCGAGTGGACTTGTTGACTCACCTCCTCCATCTGAAAAATGAATATATGGAATTGGGGTCTTTTAGTTTTACTTATGAGGTCAATATGATAGATATGTTTTCACTGAGGCATTTGGCAACACAAGTTGGGGTAGGCCGCATGTAATAGAGGGGCTGTATGAACTTTCTTATACGGCTTTGTCAGTGTAGTTCAAGCCAGCTTGTAATTTCTTTTCTTTTAGTTGAAAGGATTCTACCATTTTTATCCTAAAAAGAATAAATGTTGTGGTTCAGAATATCATTCCTCTACAGCAATTTCTTGCCAAAAGTTGGTATTATTTTGCTTTTGTAATGTGAACATTCAAAATGTAACCTTATGAGGTGTAAATAAGCTACATAACATCCTATTGTATGAGAGAAACAATTATTTCCAGTGTTAATATATTGACTTCTGCTTATATAAATTGAGGAAAAGCTACATGAATATTCTAGGTGGTTCTGACTATGTTTAAAATTAAATCGATCAAGATACACAGTACTTCCTTACTCTCTCTGACTGCTCAGCTCAAAATGATCTGACTCCCAAGCCGTATGCCTGAGAAAAATTGCGTCTTTACTCATTCCTCTAAAACATTTATCCACTGTCTGCAGAGCTGAACTATTTTGTAAAGAGGGATTCAGTCCTCTGTCATTCACCTTGCTTTCGTACCACGTTTCAACCTCTTCACGGTTTTTCTGGATAATACTTTCATATTCTTTTCTCATATCATTCAGTTCTTTCAGCAGATCCTCTCCTGGAGCAGCATTGACTTCCACATTCACATCACCGCTGGACTGTGTTTGCAGTGATTTCATTTCCTGCAGAGAAAACCCAGGCCAAAGACAAATAAATAAAAGCAGTGAAATTCCTTTGTGAAAAAGTTTTGGAAGATGATTTCCAGCAGCACCTCACTTCCTCTGAAATCATACTCTAGACCGTGTCCATCCAACAATATTTTTCAGATGGGAGGGGGATTGTTGCAATTATTTGGCCTTGACTTTCCAGTCATTGCTTGTGGAGAGGGATTGTGCTAAGAGATATGGAGAAAAAGTCTGGACAGTGCTGAGATCAGCCTATCTCAGCAGGCCCCTTGCTGAGGTGCCACACATTAGGAGAGCAGGGGAGACTATTTAGTGCAGCAGATGTCTGCAATAGGGGTGGCATCTACGGCAACGTCGCCTGGGAAACCTGCCCACGTTGCCACTATTGCAAGTATCCTTGTTTTCCTCTGTAGTTTGCGTTTCAAGGATTGAGCCCTTACCTCCTCATGATTCTTCTTGAGGCCAATCAGCTCGTCCTTTAGGGACTCAAATTGCATTTCCAGGTCAGACCTGCCCAGAGTCAGATTATCCAACAAGGGTCGCAACTCATTAATATCAGCCTCCACGCTCTGCCGGAGACCATACTCCGTCTCGTACCTGTGCCAAGGACAGTGCAGAAAGGTCAACCCTGGTCTCGGGCTCCTACTCCTTCTCCTGCCGACTTTAGTTATGAGCAGGATCACACATTCAGTTATCTTAATTTCTATTTTCATAGAAATGCTGTTCATAAAATGCTATTTTCATTTTCATGCTGTACTTTGTTACGCACAACATCTCTTAACCAGCAGAATTATGGAATCAGCAGTCAGTACCTGAAGTTTAACATTAAAATGTATTCTGTGGTCTTTTTCACCTTCTCTTCTTACCGTAGGCTTTGTGCAGATTTCATGTATCTATTTCTTCTGGCTTTCAGTGAGAAATAATCATAATTTTCCTT